GAGCCTGCTTCTCCTTTTGCCTGTGTCTCTGCCTCTCTCTCTCTCTCTCTGTGACTATCATAAATAAATAAAAAATAAAAAAAAAAAAGGTGACGTCTTCAATACGTGGAAAAGAGACAGACAATTATGAAATGATGTTAGGCCAATGTGCTACCTAGTTAAGACTGTAAAGTTAGACCCTAAACCTCCACACCTCCTGCTGCACACACACAAAAAAACTTGAAGCTCTACAGATTCAAATATAAAACACAAATTATAAAACTATTAAGAGAAAATATAGGAGAAAACCAATTATTACCTTCAGGCAGACATGGTCTTCCTACACATGATCAACTCTACTCAGAAACCATTTTTTAAAATGACGTATTTCACGCCATAGAAACTGTAATAGTCACAAATACCTATGCACTAAATGATGCATGAACCATCTACATAAAACACAAACCACAGATGATGCAAGCAAGAGAAACAGAAACACACCAGTAACAGAAGACTCTAACACACCGCTGTCAGCCACAAGCAGGTCAAGTGAACAAAACAAATAAAAAAATAACAAAAATAATATAAATGACCTAAACATTAAATCAGTAAGACAGCTCTTAGGGATCTATGTTTAGCATTATAATCTAAAAAGCAGAGAAAATACATTCTCAAACACACATGGAACATCCACAAAAACTGATCATTTATTAGATCACAGAGAAAAAGTAAATAATTCATAAAGCAAATTATAAATATCCTAATCACAATGCGATTAAATTAGAAAATTTAAAGTAAAAAATTTTAAGAATTTTTTTCTGGAAATTAACTTCATGTTAAACTGTTGAGTGAAAGAGCCAATACAAACTAAAAACAGAGAATTTATTTTTTTTTAAAGATTTATTTATTTATTCATTCAGAGAGAGAGAGAGAGAGAGAGAGAGAGAGAGAGAGAGGCAGAGACACAGGGAGAGGGAGAAGCAAGCTCCATGCAGGAAGCCCGATGTGGGACTCGATCCCAGGTCTCCAGGATCACACCCTGGGCTGCAGGCAGTGCTAAACCGCTGCGCCACTAGGGCTGCCAAAAAACAGAGAATTTATGAAAATGACTGACTATTGGGATTTAAATTCCTATCTCTAAAGATCTGTATCATTTAAATTTAAAATGAAAATAGGGATCCCTGGGATCCCTGGGTGGTGCAGCGGTTTGGCGCCTGCCTTTGGCCCAGGGTGCGATCCTGGAGACCCGGAATTGAATCCCATGTCAGGCTCCCGGTGCATGGAGCCTGCTTCTCCCTCTGCCTGTGTCTCTGCCTCTCTCTCTCTCTCTCTCTCTCTCTCTCTCTCTCTGACTGTCATAAATAAATAAAATTTTTTTAAATTAAAAAAAAAAACAAAAGAAATGCATTCCCAACTCAAGAAAGAAAGAAAGAAAGAAACTAGAAAAAGAACAAAGTAAACCATAAGAAAACAAAAGGAAGAAAAATAAAAACAAAAGGAAGGAAATAAAAATGAAAGCAAAAATTCATAAAGTAGAAAACAGACTAGTGGTATGTCAGAAATGAAAACCCTGGTTCTCTGGTTAGAAGAATCCACAAACTACAAAGAGCTAATGTAACCAAGGTAGAAAAGGGGGAAAATACAAACATACAAAAAAATAATAATTGCCAAAAGAGCATATGTTAAAAGTCCAAAAAAAGACCACTTTGCACACCTCAATGAAATTTTTATAACCTAACTGAAATGTACAATTTCTATGAAAAATATAGTTTTATCAAAATTGCCAAATGGCTGCAAAAGACCTACTTCCGTGAAAGGGACACAGAACATGATCAAGGAACTGTCCTATAAGAACATACCAGGCCCAGATGGTTTCACAGGAGAATTCCATCAAATCTTAGAGACCAAACTGTTCTGGTGCCATATAAATTGTCTCAAAAATAGAAAATAATTGAAAACTTCCAAATTATTAGGAAGCAAATATAATATTGATACTTACGTGTAAGACAGAAAATATAAAAAAAGTTATAAACCAATCACTTGTGACCATAGATGAAAAAAAAAATCCTAAATTAGGTGAACAGACACCATTATCACTTTATAAAAATAATACTTTCACCAAGCGGTTTTTATACCAGGAATGCAAGTATGGTTCAATAATAAGAAATCCATTAATATATTTCAACATATCAGTAAATTTAAGTAGAAAAAATCCGTATGATTATCTCCACCAAATCTGAAAAAGCCTTTCCGAACAAAATTCAAGAATGTATTCCTAATAAAGATCCTTGAGGAAACCGGAAGGGATGGAACCCCCTTCAAGCTCATGCACATTTCCTCAGCCCTACAGCCAGCACCCTTTCAACCGGGCACACACTGCAGGCACCCCCACAGAAGTCAGGAACAAGGTAACCAGGCCCACTGTCTCTACTACTATTTAACAACAAGTTCAGAGGAAATTATTGGAGGCCTAAAAACTGAGAAAGACATGATATGACGAGACATGTAGGAGAGCTCTAGACTCTGGGGCCTAGGGAACCAGTGATAGAACGAATTCACATAGTAAGAGAACTGGCAAGGCTAACATGAAAAAAAATCAACAGCCTTCCCATATACACTAACCAGCTAGAAGGTACCATGAGACAGAAAAACCCCACGTACTTTAGCAACAGAAAAGTAAAATGCCTAGAAATAAATTTAACCAGAAACATGCAAAATCTGCAATGAATAAAAGCACAAAACACTTCTGAAGGGCAAAGAAGCAGACTCATACAAATAGAAAAGATATCCCTCGTTCTGGGTCGGAACATCTCCACACCATCAAGATATTGTATCTGCATATGGTAATTTATAAGCTTAACATGGTCCCAATAAAAAACATAGAAAGTTTTGTCTAGAGCTCAGTAACTTGCTACTGATAATCCTACAGAGAAGTAACCACGAGAGAGCAAGAGGCAAACCATGAAAAGGAGGGCGGCCTCGCCAGCCAGGTGGGAACTCGGACCATGATGCGGGTGCACGGTGACTGCAGGCCGAGGTCTCTGGACACCTCTGGCTGCAGCTCAGGAGCTGAAACCATGGCTATGTGTGTCGAGGACAGAGCAAGGAGGCACCTGCGTGATGCTGTGCAGAGCCAGGGCAGACGCAAACACAGAATGGGACCACGCAACAGAGAGCCTGTGGGGTGAGGCTCAAACCAGAGGCATCAGTGGCAACCCTTGGTCTCTGAGACCCACACCTTCCCACCTCTGTCAACCAGAGGCCAGGGGCACCGGGGCTCTGGGAATGAAGGGTAGACCCCAGGACAAGGGCAGCAGAGGTACCAGAGCCCAGGATACCTCGTTGTGCCTGAAAGTTGAGAAGTCCCTGAAAAGGACCCAGGGGCCAGTCTGAAGTGACTCTTACGACCTGAGCATCACAGGTAAGGATGGAACTGATGGCAAAGCATTAAATGGGACAGAAACCCATGAGGCTTTCAGAGCAGAGCACCACTGATGGTCTGGAGTGCTGGTCACAGCCCTCAGGAAAGACTGGTTCAGGAAGAATCATCGCTGGTGCCCAAGCGAAGTGGGAATGCTGGATGAGGAGCAGGAAAATCCTGTGGTCTATTTTTTTTTTTAAAGATTTTATTTATTTATTCATGAGAGACACAGAGAGAGGCAGAGACACAGGAAGAGGGAGAACCAGGCTCCCCGTGGGGAGCCCAATTCAGGACTCGATCCCAGGACCTCGGGATCATGCCCTGAGCCAAAGGCAGACACTCAACCACTGAACCACCCAGGTACCCCTAATCCTGTGGTCTTAAAGTGACCCCCCACTCCCCCTAGAGATGGCTTACTAGTTGCAAGGGGAAAACCATTAATTACAGCATGGAGAAACTCTGACCGTAACATCAAATCTAACCTCACTTCCAAGGGGGCGGTGAAAGAAGCAGTTAGGGTCACAGGCCCAGGACAGCCATCCTTAGGCCAGTTCACAAGGTGGGCTCTTGGCTGAGGCCTGGGAACATGAACTGTGGGAGGGTTCCCACCACCGTGGGATCAGAGGGCCTCATTGGGCATAAGGTCTTCATACAAATAACACAGCTTGTGCCGAATACTTCTTTCCTTCTGGGGTCTAGAGTTTTGGTATGAGTCAGGCAGAGGGTGGGTGCCCATGGGCCTGAATCCCAATAAAAGCCCTGGGTGCTGACCTCTGACGAGCTCCCTGGTAGACAACGTGTCACATACGTCATCTCGCTCACTGCTGACGGTGTAAGCCCACTCTGCACAACAGACTCCACTGAAAAAGCTACAAAGCAAAACTGCAAAGGCAAAAGGGCGTAGGAGTAAGCTTCCAGTCCTTTCTTATGAAACCACACAACACTACTTCTACATCCTCAGGTGAAAATGTCATAACACGTAATGATTTGTGTATGCTGTATTTCACTAAATGCCTGTTTTATTAGAGCCAAAACACACAAGAAATGAACCACAGTGTTTTCTCTCAGTTAATGACAGAAGAATTCTGTCAACAGTGATAAGCTTCTTTCCAGGTTCATAAATATGCAACTGCAAAGTACTAGTAAGGGCTCTGGTGACCAGAGCATCCCTGGTCTCCAGAGCATCTCTGGAGGCGCTGTGATGGTGAGGAAGCAGGTCAGTCCCCTGCCCTCAGGAAGCCCTCAGGAGAGCCCCACAGGGAGTATGAAGTCCAGGACAGTGAATATGGAGGTTAGGCAAACAAAGCCGGGAGTAAATAACAATCCCAGAGGCCATGAGGGTGCAGGGAGCTCACAAGAACTCCAAACACAGCAGTGAGATCATACGTGGTGGTTACCAAGAGGGCACACCCCAAACCAGAGCAGAAGCATGGGGCGACAACCAGGCATGTGCCTGAGGACGGGAAAAGAGAGAACACCGAGTACATTAAAAAGTCAATCTGAAAAATTACGGTTTCCTGAACAAAAGCCAGACTGGTGACTTCTCAGTCCTACTCCAAGGTATTTTCTCATAATTTCTTCTCCTTTTGTGAATACTTACACAGCATTCCGTCCAATAAATATGAAGGAAGGGGAAAGTAAGTAGGGCTTTGTTTCCTTCTTTGGGCAGCAGCTCCTCTTTGAATTGAACGAAGTTAGATTCTAGGTGAATCATCTTTGGAGCCCGGCCATAGGACCTACGAACAATTTTTAAAACATCACTGAGAAAAATGACAACAAGATTCAGCAGAAAGAAGGGGGGGGGAATGCAACAATAATTAAATCATATCCACGAGTTCAAAGTATAATATACAGTATTAATCCTGAATTATAATGGCAATACCCTGTCCAAAAGAATTCTATAATATCTAAACACACTTCCTATGTACGTGTCAAAGCTCCCTCTCTGTAAGTCTTTCACCTTACTCGGTGACACGCGCACAGTAATATCTGACTTAACCAGGACTATTTGCAACAACACAGACTTCTGAGAAAAATGGGTATTATTTAGAGCTTCACTGAATCTGTAAGTCACTATTTAAAAAAAAAAAAAAAAAAAAGATTCCCAAAGGTCAAAAGGGGAGTTTGAAGATAGGAAAGTTTCAAACTGCACAAATACTTTTGTTTTATGATCCCCTGTATGGCCCAAAACAGAAAACAGAGAGCGCCCTCGGCCCCGAGGGAGGCACAGAGAGGAGGCCCGCAGGCTGCATACGCCCAAGCCAGGGCTAGCAGGGTGTGGACGCTTTCACTGTACTTCTACAACATACCTTAGGCTACATGTTTTTCCTTCACACTTACTTCCCACTTCTAGTAGCTGCATCTCTAAAGGCATTTTGTATTTTTTGTCCAATCTAAGGGGTCTGTGCCTAATAAACTGAAACTAACTGTATTTAACACGATTATGCGGATGCTTGAACTTGTGTACTTTCTATTCAGAGGCTATTTTTCTGTCCTTTGTGAGACTCATCAAGTTTTCTTTTTCCATCCTTTTCTCTGTTGGTTTGAAAGTTTAACCTTCTATTTCTATTCTGCTGTTGGTTACATTTCTATTTTTAATACATAAAAACTTAAATTTTTCTTTCTAAAAGTAGAGTAGATGTCTACCCTCTCCTTGAACAAGACAAGTACATTTTCTTCTCTCTGCTTTCTTCCTTACATCTAAAATTGTAGATTTAATTTTTACAAATTGAGTGATATCTTCAGTTTATTAACTAAATATTTTTATGACTTGTTTGCTGACAGCTGCTTCTTTCATCTATGAATTCTGAGCTCATTTTCCTTCCTGTTGAGATGTGTCCTTTCATTATTTCAGGGTGGTAAGGTCTGTGATCAGACATGTCTGAAAACATTTTATGTATTTCCCAACCCTCTCCACGTCATGGCAAGTAATGAATACAACAGGCAAATGGCACACAGGAACACACACGTGAAGCTCCGTGCAGCCAGAAGTGACAGATCCTGTGACCCCAGGTGGCCCCCATGCCTTCAAGAGACAAACCCTGTCACTCCTACCTCAGCCAAGCCCACAGGCCAAGGGGCAGGGCAGGGGGTAGATGGCAGGGGTGGTGGAGGGGGGCTGACTCAGTCTTCCCTTCTGCGTGTGAGTTGGAGTAGCACAGACTTCTAGGTCGAAAGAAGTTTTCCGTCAGGACTCTGGGAAGTGCTGGCTCTTACTCTCCATTTTCGATGTTGTCAGAGACGGCAAATCTGGTTTCTTTTTTTGTCTGTCTTTCTGGCCTGGCTTTTGGTTCGCTTTGTTTTGCTTTCATTCCACGGGACTTGTAGTGGGGGTTCCAGCAAGCCCCTGATTCGCCACAGGGAAAATCCTGACCTTAATTTTTCAGATGCTGCCTGTCCCCTACTCTCTACCCCCTGCTCTGAAACCTCTAGCTAACGCCCCCGCGTGCAGCTCTGGGCACCCAGCCCCAGGGTGCCCGCAGGGCCGCGCAGCTCCGGCTTGCCACTCCCCGATGTGCTCGTCGCCCTACAGCTTGTCCCTGCAGCTAGCAGAATCTTGGCTTCAATTCTCGTTCCAAGGTCTGCTCAATCAACTGTACATTTTTTTTAATGCATGATTTTATTTTATTTTTTTAATTTTTATTTATTTATGATAGTCACACAGAGAGAGAGAGAGAGAGAGAGACACAGGCAGAGGGAGAAGCAGGCTCCATGCACCGGGAGCCCGACGTGGGATTCGATCCCGGGTCTCCAGGATCGCGCCCTGGGCCAAAGGCAGGCGCCAAACCGCTGCGCCACCCAGGGATCCCCAACTGTACATTTTTATCACAGTCACACGCACCTACTTTAACACGTCAGGCAGCATCAACCGGCCTCTCGTTCTCTCACACTCACGCGCAGCTCCCGCCCGGCCCCCTCCGAGTTTCCTGGAGCTCCTCTGACAACGACCACAAACCCACAGGCTTACAACAACACGAACTCTCTGGCAGCACAGGAGACCAGCAATGGGAGGTCAGGAGCCGGCAGCGCTGGCTTCCCTGACCCTTGGTGGGAGAACACGTCCGTGTCCGGTGTCTGTCCGCCCTGCCCTCCACCCTGCCCGCAAACCCGGGCGGTCTGGGCTTGCAGCCCGGCCCCGCTCTCCCCGGGCACCCCGATCTCCCCGGGGGCCCCGATCTCCAAGGCCAGCTCTGCACTGACCTCTCCTCGGTCTGCGTCCATGTCTTCTCGGGACACCTGTCACTGCACTTAGGGCCACACTGCTCCAGGCTGATTTCCCATGATCCTTACCTCCGTTATGCTACAAGACCCCTTTCACCAAATAAAGTCACACTCACAGCTTCCAGGGGGACGCATCTCCTCGGGCCACCATTCAGCCCACTGCATCTCCCCGAACACTCTCATTTTTGACACAAGGTCCAAAGGTCCACGATGGGAGACGCGGGCTCAGCGCTGCCCGCCATCCTCGGGCCTGCCCCCCGCCCTCCCAACTACCTTGTCGCCGTCCTCTGTCCCAACTCCGGGACTCCTTTCCTACTAAATGTGCCTACACCTCCAGTTACGCAGTTCTATGATGTGTTTTTCGTCCTCCTGCATCCTCGTTCCCTCAGCTCACAGCTGCCCGGCAGCACTGCAAACCCCGTGTGCCACCGACGGGGCCAAGCCTCAGCTAGCCCGTCCGTCCCTGTCTCGGTCCCTGTCTCGGTCCTGTCTCTGGGCTAGTATCCCGCAGGCCTCCTGCTCCCATGGGGAAGGCACTGGGGGCCAGAGCAGGGCTTTTCGAGGCGCCCTCCGGTCCGTCCCGCCCGCCTGCAGAGTGTGGGGGAGGCAGACAGCTCTGGTGCTGGCCGCACCTGCTCACACCCAGGCTGGCCCTTTCCCCCGCTTCCTGCGGTGCCTCATATCCACCGCCCTGGAGCTCATCTGGCCACGAGCCGCAGGCTCCCGCAGAGGTGGCCCCGCGCCGCCAGTCCCCTCCCCACATGCTCTGGCCTCGCCTGCTGTGGTCCTGGGCCCGCTCCCTGCGTCTCCAGGAGCTGCCTCTGCAGATACGAGACTCGGGCTGAGCCTCCTCTCCAAGGCCTCCAACTGTCATCCTCTTCGAGCAGGTGTCCAGTCTCCACTGTGTCACCCGCACGCACTCTGTCTCTGCACCCTCACCCTTCTTCAGCCCTTCCTCTGGCTCAGGCAGGTTCAGGGAGGCAAAGAGATGAACACACACTAAATCTATGTCTCTCCTTGTTTCCTTACAACCCCTGGTCTTGTTTCATGGACATGCCTCTTCGTTTTCTCTTTCTGCATGTTTAACTAATGCGTATTAGAAGTCCTCTCCAGACGTTACTTCCTCCACTGAGTTACCTTCTCTCGCTGACAGCACAGGGCCTGCTCAGATGTTGAACGATTCTCCCACTTTCCATCTGCTCTTTCTAGTCAATGTAGTAGTTCAACGCATTCCTTCTAACAGTGTATCACACACAAAAATGAGACTAGACCCCATCTCTGGTGAGTCACACCCAGAAAGCCACGTCAATTCTTCATGGTGGTGGAGGTGCAGCATGCTGCTGGTCAGAGGGAAACGGTGTGGCAGGAGCTGGGCTACGTGAGCATGAATGACAGCCGGAATGTGTACACACCTCGATTAAAATCAGATTCCCTGCACCAACAAGTCAGAATCCAAACATTTTCTAGAAATAATAGCTAACCATAGCAGAAAGAAGTTTTCCAATAAGATAATTCAAACATGGACTACTTCTCCAGACAAGTCCTGACACAAACAATCGCCTACAGAAGGACACATAGGATTGTTGGTCTGGTTTCCCTCAATTTTTAAATAGCATCTTTCTGTACACTTCCTCATCCTTACAAAAAGAGCACAGGAGCTCAAGGTGGAGAGGTCGTGCTGAGACCATAGGTAAAGGCCACGGGTTCTACACTAATGTGGAGGCTGAGCGCATGCCTCCCCTCCAAAGTGCCCATACCTTTAAGACACTCTGATGCAGACTTTGAATCACAGAAAACAAACTGAGGGTCCCTGGAAGGTAGGGAGTAACTGGGGGATGGACACTGGGTGTTATATGCAACTGATGAATCACTGAATTCTACCCCTGAAGCTAATACTATACCATATGTTAACTAAACTGAATTTAAATTCAAAAAAAATTTTAAAAGACACTGATACACCACGAGGAATCAGATGTCATTCCTATAAAAGAGAACCTTTAAATCAAAAGAACTGTCTTGTTTCTACCACCCTAGGTCTCAGTAAGAAAATCAACATAATCCTTAAAAAGTGAGTCCCACAGATTATGTGATATGTTCAGTTTCTTTACAAAACACCTTAGAACTTAGGCTTTAACTTTTACGACCTCATTTGCTCACAGAAATGTCTACAAAATATAGAGGGAGATAAAGCCAAAGAACAAATATGCCACACCTTCTCCATTCCATGGGTTCTCTTGGAAGCTGCTGGGAAAGCGTTGGATAAATAGAGGTAAATAAATTCTGATCTCCAGCACCTACAACAGGAATAAAGAACAGAGTTACAACAGGCAACATGGGCTATAGAACGTACTGAATTGGCAACTTATACAATTTTATATTTAGTAAAATGACATCACAAGATTGTTTTATACCTTTAAGTTATTGATCTCAAGAAAACCCAGCCCTTGACATTCACAGTCTAACTCCACCCTTACGACACCTCCATGTGGTTCGAACCGTTTTCCCCAAGGAGAATGAGGATCGGAAAAGCTGAGTATGTTGCCCAAGACCACAAAGCTGAGGAGAGAGGGAGCTGGCTCAGCTCCACCAGCAACCTCCTGAGCGTATGGCCCGCAGCTACTGCTTCTGCTTCACGCAAACGGCCACAATCATCATGCAGAAAAGGAAACCCCAGGAAGTGAACGTGGATTTCCTCACCCAAATAAACTCAATATGCATCCAGACGCTAGTAGGAACTAAAATACATACAGAACACTCTGTGTGCACAGGACACACAAGACACGAGACACGTGGCTTCTCTGAGTTAGTCCTCGCAGTCCCTGCTAGGGCACGACCAGCCTTCACAGATCAGGACGGCAAGGCTACAGGGGTCCGCCCATTCAGAACACAAAGCTGGCTCTTGGGGATCCTAGTTTTGCATCCAGGTATGTGTGACTTCACGCTACAGGCTCAGTTTTTACTCAGCTCTTTTATCTTAGTGTTAACAGAACTGCAAGGTCCATTAGCTCCCATAAAATGAGAGGATAACCACATTATCCTTAGGCTAAAAAAGAACCTTTTAATGTAGATGACTCAAACTCTTACACTGGAGATCCTCAAACTTTAAGCAAAACCATTATCCAAATTGCTTTTGTATTGATCTTAAATCGTTGGGAATTGATGTGGGCCATTAACACACTGGCTTATTTTGCTATCACGAACATTAAAAAATAAATAAATAAAAGACCTCCCCAAAACCACATAACGAGATGATCTCTGCTGAGAGGAGCATGGCTTCTGGGGAGCAGCCAAGCGCAGCTGTCAGATGGGCAAAGAGAGCCCCTCAGTTGAGTGTGCCACCCCTCCTGGGCCTCAGAGGGCTACCTGTGAAATGGGAAATAACACCTAGGGCTGTGGTGATGGTCAAATGAATCAGCCTTGAACCGGACCTGATGCAAAGTAGTTTGGGTTACTCTTATTACATGTTCTGTTCAAATAAAGACAATTTTTATGTTTTAACTTAGCATTTTTCATTGTATTTCTTTATTTGATAATCATCTTAGAAATCATTAAAGTAAGAAAATAATCAGCCTCAGATTTCTTACCTTGGATTGCCATCCCTATGGCCTCCTTAGAAGGTTCCAAGGTTAATGTACAAAAATTGCCACTCTTCTGCTGAGTGGCCCTGAGGGCAAGCAGTAGAAGCTCTCTCCTGCTTCACCTGTGTTCATCCTCATAACAAAGTCTCACACAAACACACCTGGGTACAGAGCCTCCCAATAAAGTGCCCCCTACATCCCCCAAGCTAGCTCTCTTGGAAAAAAACTGTTAGAGTAAAGCTCATGTAAATGGGGACCGTAAGGTAATTTTTCTTACACTATCTCATGGAATAAATCTTTAATTTCTGTCCTAAATTCAATTTTAAAAGATCAGAGGTCAACTAGCACACTAATGGCAGACTTCAATGTGACTGACCCCAGTGCCTGCCACACGCTGAACGGTGTGCCCCCACAAAATTCCTGTTAAAGTCCTAACCCCCAGGACCTCTGAGTGTGACCATATTTGGAAATCAAGTCTTTAAGGTCTCCAGGCCCTGATCTAATCTGGTGCCCTTTTAAAGAGAAAATGTGGATACACAGGAAGAGACAAGCCCACAAGAAGACACAGAGAGAACACAGCCATCTATGTACACAGCAAGAACAGAAAGGCTCTGCAGCCAACCCCACAGACACCCTGAAACTGGCCTTCCACCCTCTAGAGCTGCCCACTCGCTGCTCCTCTGCAGACTAACACCCCTGCCCCCTCAAGTTATACCTGAAAAAGGTCAAATTCTTCTAACCCACTGAAGCTCTACCAGGACTGACTGAGAACAAAGAAAAGCTACCTGATTTTCCAGAACGCACCCCATCATTGTCCTAATAGCTTCAATCTTTGTATGGAGCATCCTGCAAAGCTGCGATGCCCCCTGGAAACGGGCTCCAGAGAGCAGGAGAGTGGAGGGAGGAAGATAGGAGACTGTGTGTAGGCATAGAATCCCAATTACATCTCAGCTTATGCGATGGGTGACCAAATTAACAATATGTACTTAGTAGAATCCCAAAATAGCCCAACCATGAAGTAGAAAAGTCCTTAGAGCTTTGAGGTCTGAACCAGAAGATAGAAGATGGAACAACTTCTGGGCTGATGTTCATCAGAAAGTAGCTACTAACAGCAAAAACGAGGTGGAAGACTGATGCGCCCAGCTTCAGAGAACCCTGTTTAGAGAACTGTGTTTATTTTTCCACCTCAAGAGGCCTATTAAAGGACTGAAGTCAAAGTATTTATTGTAATAACTAAGATCCCTTTTCATGTGAGAAAGGGGAGCCTCCTCAGTCCTTAATAAGGGTAATTCAAAGCATAATCCTTAATGGGTTAATGCATAAACCTCTCTTTCCCTGCTCAGGCCGGGCCCATTCCCATCACTGTAGGGGACACGTGGAGACAAGAGGGCTGGGGGAGCACACCGTGCCCGCGCCACCCGCGGGCAGCCCCCGGGGTGTGCAGACCAGGGCGGCTGGTCGGCCTCCACCCCTGGCCAGTATCAGGGCAGGGCAGGGCCCTGGCAGGAAGGGCTGTGAGGGGCAGACACAGGAGCCACTCAGATGTGAAGGCAAACATCGGGACAGTCATCCTGCTGGGAAGAGAGGGACGCAGGCACCCAGGGTGTTGCCCAGACCTGCTGGGCACCTGCCCCAGGCTGAGAAAAGCCCCGCTCAGACGGCCCCCAGTGAAGGCAGGCAGAGCCCAGATTTCTGATGGTATGAACCTGTTTTCTCCTTATTTCTGTCAGCAGTAACTAGATTTTGTCAAATGCAGTCAGCCGACTGGCCAGACCTTTGTTACCTCCTGCATTCTCACATTTTTACCAGCATATATTTGCATGTATTAATCATGTAACTTAAAACTTTTTAATGCTAAAAGCAGGTAAGAGCTAATTAAATATGGAGGGAAAAAGAAGACAAAAAATAAGATTTCAGTGATTTAGGCATAAATGGGTCTTATTTCAACCAATTCAACATGTCTTATACCTTTAAAAGAGAAGGAACTGGGAACTCAATTATGGAAAAAGTAATTAGTAACCTGTATCAACATTAAAAAGACACTAATATGTATCCAGTTTATAAGATAAAAGTAACTACAGATATAAATACATCACTTACACTTGAGATCACCAACAGTAAGACAGTAAGAACATGGCTATTTTTGAAACAACGCTAACCTTCAAAGGAGTCGATCATGACAGAAATAGAAATCTGGAGGCCAGACAGTCTCCTGACCCAAGATGCTGTCACTGAGATTAGAATCTAACTAAAGCCTAATAGCAGGCCAGACCCCCGCCCCAAACCAGTCCTACACCATGTAGCTCACTGGCCTGCTCCCTGAAGAGCAGTGGACACTTTCACTTTCAATCACTTGATGCCCAAAACCTTTATTTGGGGGCCCACGAAAACTACAAAGTCACAAGTTATTTAGACATTTTTGAAATTCAGATTTTTAATTCTTAACACTAGATGGCAACTGGAACAGAAACAACACTAAGCTGACGGAGCACAGGACTTTGGGATGTCCTGTTTTGCAGCAAAATGTCCCAGACAAGACAACCGGCACTGCACCCTATCAGAAGTCTTGGTCTAAACCAAACCATCGGGAGGGTTTCGATTTGAGAACGAGATTACAGGGGTGCTCACTTTCTGCATCTCAGGAATATAATAGGGTGTCTAGGGACGCCTGGGTGGCTCAGTGGTTGAGCATCTGCCTCCGGCTCAGGGCATAATCCCAGGATCTGGGATCAAGTCCACATCGGGCTCCCTGTATGGAGCCTGCTTCTCCCTCTACCTGTCTCTGCCTCCCTCTCTTTCTGTGTCTCAAATAAATAAATAAATAAATCTTTAAAATATATATATATATATATATAGGGTGTCTAAATTAAACTAAAAGGTACATAGTCTCTCTAACCTAAAAGAAAAAGGTTTGTACCTACATTCAAAAGCTATGCACTGGTTGTTGCTAATGGTCCTATAATGTTTATACAACAATTTTTAGAAGATTTTAGGACTCAAATATGACATTAAGATTGAATTTGGCACTGAGTCTACAGAAAGAGTAGCATGAATTACCAAATGTGGTTTGAGTGCTTGGCAGCTATAAATTATGCCTCGGGGGAGACACAAGCTATATTGAAGTTACTCTCAGTCAGGAAGGACACAGGGTTTTCATGCTTGTACAATCCTTACTCCCTGTGTTTTTTGTTTTTTTTTTCCCCCAGACATATGTTAAGGGCATTTGGAAATCTCTGTCATAGCCCTGCTCTCCAGAGCCTGTGAATATGTTACAAGACAAGGGAGAAATTAGGTGGTAGATAAAGTTGCTAATCAGGTGAACTTAAATAAAGAGATTATCCTGGATCATCCAGGAGGCCAATGCACTCAGAGGGGATGACAGAGGCAGAGCCAGAACCAGAGTTGGTATCCTGAGGACTAAGCTGGTCATTGCTGGCTCTGAAGATGGAGGAAAGGCCGTGGGCCCAGGAACGTGGGCAGCCTCTAGGAGCCGGTAAAGGACAAGGGAATGCATTCTCTCCAGAAGGAATCAGCCCTGGCAACCTCTTGATTTGAGCCCAACGAGACCCATTTCAGACTTCTGACCTCCACAACTCCAAAATAATACATTTGTGTTATTTTGAGGCATTAAGTCTGTGTAATTTGCTATAGCACCCACAAGAAAAATTAAAGCGTTTAATTTGAAAAAAAAAAAAATTCTACATACTGCCTTTCTT